CTCTACTCACACCCTGGTGGTGTTTTTACATTTGCTGTGCACAGATGTGAATGGCAACACAAGGTGCCAGGCAGTGGGGAATTTGGGTCATCTGTCCGAGTTTCCCGTCTGTAAAGCAGGGGTGATGAGAGTGCTGCTTTCCTACTGCACAGCAGTGTTATGAGCATAAACCTGTTAGGCATTTGCATGTTTCAGTACCGAGTGCCACTGAAAGGCTTGTGAATAATTCAATAAAATGTGTCTCTCGTGTAATGCCATTGTCGTCCATGGAATTACACAGAGATGGCCCATTATATGCTTCCTGTAGCAGCACTCTGTCTTCCACCCAAGGTCGATTAATGCTCGATCTGTGAAAGATGGTTGCAGTGGACCCTGGAACAATACAGAATGTGCCCAAAGTTTGGTTTCAGTGTCAAGTTTGTGTTGGGCCACATTCATCAATCTTAGTGAAGGTTCACAGGCTGGGACTGCCTTATGGTTTGGGGCACAAACCACATGTGTGAAATTCAGAGGCTTTATCTGTCCCAGTGAGTCCTTTGTTTCATTGTAAAGAAATCTGGTCTTGATTTTCAACACTGCACCTGGATCGCTTTCTGTTCTTTCGGATTAAATAGTAAATGATTTGCGGGGAGGTTGCTGATAGTGGAAGGCTCATCGGAGTTTCACCAGAACTGCATTTCTTTGAGTGCTCTCATTGGCTAGTGTGGCTCTTAGCTGGAGCTGCCGTTAGGAGGAGGAATAGACGGATCCTTTCCTCCATCAGCAGAATGGGATGGGGCTGTGTAAAAAGGAATTCATGTTACACTCCTGTTCCAGGGACACAGACAACTTGAAATCCAGTCCACTATGCAAAAGAAACATAATGTCAGGCACTGCATTTTCCCCCCAAATTCTGCCCCTTGCCTCAAAATGAGATTTTTTTCCTTAAAAAAAACCCAAACAAACAAACAAACAAAAAAGTTTCTCTTCCGATCATTGTAGGACAAATCCACAAACAGCAGGTGAAACTGACTAGCCAGAAGGTAAAATGAGTCAAACACAAAGTAAGTGTGCGTGTGTGTTTGTGTGTGTGTGTGTGTGTGTGTGTGTGTGTGTGTGTGTGTGTGTGTGTGTGTTATTTTTTCAGTCTAAGTGGCATGAGATATGTAACAATAATACCCCCCCCAGAAACCCAGAGATGGATTTAGTTGGGAATTGGTCCTGCTTTGAGCAGGGGGTTGGACTAGATACCTCCTGAGGTCCCTTACAACCCTGATATTCTATGATTCTTTAAGTTGCCTTCGCTGCGTTCCCCCCAGAGCAGCTCTGCTGAGGTTTTTGAGGCCAGCCTTTTGGCCTTTGCTACTGCTTTCCCCCATTCCATCTAAACTCTTACGTATAGCTCTGGTTTTCAAAACATGCATCCATGCTGCGTTTGTTTCTTACTCTGGAAATCTCCCGGCGTACCTTGCACAGCCTGGCTTTGGGCAACAACCTGGCAGTACCAGCTCGGCCTAGAGGCATGCGATGACTGAAATTTACTAAGGAAGCGAGCTCAGTTTACAGCCTTCATGGAGAAGTTTATAAATCACAAAAAAAGGGAGCAGGGGAAGAGAATTTCGATGGGGAATTTGTTTTAAAATAGCTCAGTGGCATGAGAAGTCAAGTGGCAATCCCTCCTCAGTGACCACTTTATCTTAGAACTGCTCAAGCAAGAAGAGGGTGCTGTGGGAGGCACCAGACTTGCCAAGAGCCCAGCATTTGTGGTTTCTTCTCTCTAACAAGGGCTGGTGGCTGAAAGCAGAGCAGGTAGCTACGTGTTTTCTCCTTGGCTCAGAGATTAGCGATGCCATTGTCTCCTTTAAGGGCACCAGCCCGAAGACCCTGAATTGGGTTTTATGAGGAGAACATAACGCCCAAAGGTCTGCAAGAATCAGGGCCCAGGTGTGCTGAAGCAGAGACCCTGCCACCATCTTCAGTTCGTTTGTACGAAGTGAGTGTGCCAAGCAATAGGAAGGAGGCTGGGAAGACAGCGGGATGACCACCCGATTATGCGGCTGGGGATGGGCACAGTGTTA